AATTTTTTTCTGTTCTAGGAAATTATCAACTTTTATAGAGCTTATATTTAGTATGGCAAATATTAGGAGTCAGCGTGGTGGCTCATTGACAAATTACTTCTAACTAACTGAAAAATGTAGTTTCTGACATGCATGGCAAGAAAAGAAAATCAAGAGTAATAGATTAAGAATGCAAATACAAAAATGCGGCCTATCATTACAACCCACTGTAATATTCCTTTTTTTTGTTTATTTAATCCTATAATATTGAAACTCTGATTATTTCATGTGCTGTGAAGAGTTGTTAGAACTTTTTCAGCATTTCGTGACCTAAGGGTTTTCTGAACTATTTATATTAAATTCAGATATTAACCTTAGAAAGCCTTTGGTTTTACAGCCAGCAATCAAAATCATAGTTGAACTGGTGAACTATATATGGCACAACCCTTGTCTTTTCTTTTTCTTTTTAATTTACTAGGATGTCTAATATTGTCAATTTACAATGGGATGTTTAACTTTGATAAGCTATTTTAGGCTTTGGCTTTGATAAAATATAACTATTTCAACCACAACTTTATTTGAAATTTTGCCACCTAATTTTCATAGGGGTAGGTATCATTTCATTATAACAGAGTAATGTTCTTGTATTAAAAACACGGAACCTGCTTTTTCCTGATTCAGAAAGGATGAATTTCTCAGGCTTTTCTTTGATATGACTTTATGAGTTTGAGACAAATATCTCAACCTGACCTGAAACAATTCTAACTTTTTGGCTTGATTGATTGCATAACAGGTAATGCTTAGTGAAAAAATAAATAATTTTTACTCAATTTAAATAATAAACAGAACCTAGATATGTGCAATACAGTAATATGCATATTTATGAATTGCATATTGCATGTGCTACATGAGCTTACCTGTTACTGAATATATTATGGTTTCCATCCTTACTTTTTCTGTGAAGTTATTGACTGTGCCAATAGTTCAAAATAAGAAATATATTTCCATTATTTAGGGTTCAGACTAGTTTTTGTACTTTTAATTTTGTATTATATCAACAGTTTCAAACCTTTCCTTATATAAACCAATACACAGTCATTGAAAGATTTTTAAGAACTACTAGACAACCTTGTGACCTGTTGGGTCATCCTTTGAGAGAAAGGTAGTGCAATCTGATGTGGCCAGAATGAACATTAAATTTTAGGCTGACCATATTTTTTACCCCAATGCTGGATGGTCCATGGTCATCTAAGAAGAGTATATATCATAAATAGAAAAATAATTGTAGCGGCAAACAAACTTCAATAAAAGCAGTGGGAGTGACTTCTGACTTCCTGCTGGCTTCCCCATTGACTTTGCTTGCAAGAAGCTGGCAGGGAACATCGGAAATCACAATCACATGACTGTAGGGATATTCCAATGGCCACAACTTTGCGAATAATACTGGTGTGGACATTGTGGACATTTCAATTCCATAGGAGTAATGGGTCCCATATTTTTTATGCATTCTTTAAATTAGTGGATTCTAGGTACCTTGATTCAAAAATTGTTGCCGTTTAATGTATAATGTGCCGTTTGGGCTAATTTGAGGGTACAAACAGACAAACGGATAAAACAATGAGAGTTTTAGTAGTATATAGATAGATAACAATGCAGGCAAAGCAGTGGAGCCCCCAAAGGTGAATATAGAAGACAAAAACTCTACTTTCAATTTTTTTAAAAAGGATACAACTCTCATGGGATTGCCAAGTGTCATGATTTTTTAGTATCCCTGCCAAAAATATTGTGAGATTTGGTCAAGAATGCCAAAAACTTGAGATATTTGGTAATTGCATAAGATTTTAAACTATCCATGGTTTAAAGAATTATAGAGGTGTGCTACATTATGCTCTGAAGTATTGCAGAACATATGTATAGTGCTACTTTATTTTAACCCACACCAGAACCAAGGGTGCTATTTTCGTGGACCACCAGCAGTTTCCAAGTCATGTTATAAAGTGTTGCTTTATATTATTAGAATGTAAATCAACATTTTAATGTCATTTTAGTTTACTAGATTAACTGCCACTTAATTCTATGTATGTCTTTTCAGATGTAGGTCCCACTGAATTGAATGAATTACTTCCAAACACGTAGGCACAGGTTTGCAGCTTTTGAGATGAAGACACTTAATTTCCTTAATATTTTCCAGATCCTTGACTTCTGTGATATATTAACAACAGGCTTCTTTGAAGAAGCAATGGATTTTGGATTCCTTCCTGTGACTTTAGCAGATAACCAGCTGTTCAGGATTCTTTATTAACCTGACGAGCAACATTAAGCTTTTTTTTCAGCTTTGGGAATTTTAAATGACTTTCAACTTTCAATCTAAAATAAATATAGAAGTGGCTGCTTTGAACACCATTTCCACGAGCGATTCTAAGTGTAATAAGTGCTTAGATGCTTGATATTCCTAAATGTCATTTTGACTTAAACCATGAATGTATTTGATAGATGATTAACTAAAGGGGGAAAATATCTAGAAACCTTTACTAAGGTTGCTGAATGTAAAGGATTTCATATGCTTTAGTAAAAAATGTTTGTAAAGATTCAAATCTGCTATTGAGTTCACTGATCCTTTAAGTGTCATTGAAGTGTTAACTGCTTCCATGGAGAATGGATTCTTAGATTTATCTCACTCACCACCCATAATATGCAATGCTGAACTGTCTGGGAAATTCTGCTGAACATTTTAGGTCAAGACTTAATGCCGTATAAAAGATGCTGAGCTAACAAGAACCCTGATTTCCTTATTTTATAGTTATATATGCCGCTGTCAAAACGAGAACTTATTTTTGGAACAATATATCTACATACAGTGTTTAAGAGACTGGATGCTTATCTCATTATCAGTTTTGTCCCTCCCTCCCTCCCTCCCAAGAAACAAAATTCTTTGATTAAAAGCAGTGTAAGAAACCATATTTTAGCAAATAAGGTCATTGATGGTATGTTTATCATTTTAGAGACCATGGTATTGCAAAGTTTGAGAATCCCTAGTGTACTGTAAATCAGATATTCACTAGTAGTATAAATTAGAATTCTAAAGAATTTTGTTCCTTTACGTGCAAACTCAAAAGCAAAAGGTGCCCCAGGTGATACTATAATCATGCCTGTTATATATCAACATTTCTTTATAGGAGACCTGTGAAGAAGAATTATTTTAATATTACAAAAGAAAACATGGCTGTAAGTTTGTCTAAAACAAAGGAAACATCAACCGAGACCAGTTTATATGTGGAAATTGCATTTTTTACAAATTCAGTATGATAAAGGCTAGGAAAAATAAATGCCAGCTTGTTGTAGATAGATCTTTGATACCTTCTTGAAAGTTTAGATCTTCTGCAGATGTCTAAAATGGAAGTTTTTATTGCCGACTATTAATGTTTAGACCAGGTCTGCGCAACTGATAGAGGGAAAAGGGCCAGACTGATATCTTAAAAGTAATTGTGGCTGCAGAGGAAGACCTGTGGCACAGTGGTGGCCTTGGAGCTGGCAGTGTCTGTGAGGTCTGGAGGTCTTGGAGGTGCTCAGCAGTGTGTCTTTCAGAGCAGAAGTGGCTGCAAAGAGGCATCAGTGGAGCCTTCCTGCAACATTTGGCAGCAGTGATGATTATTTTTCCAAAAATGCTGGTGGGCCGCCCAAGGCCACTTGGTGTGCTGCGTGTTGTATAGGCCGGGTTTATGCCAAAGTAGCTCCCAATGAATTTCTTTTGCAGGCATTGTTATAAAAATAGTCAAAATATTCATTTTGCTACCACCTTACATGTTTTTACATATTCAGACGGGGCTGAGTTTACAATTTCTAATTTTAGTCATTATTGTTGAAATCCTGCAGTCCCCTGTAAGTAAGCCCTATTTAAGTCAGTGAGACTTATTTTTGAGTGGCTGTAAGTCTACATAATCACAAGACTAGACAGTTGAATAAAAAGCTTAATAAATATTGATTCCCCCCCCTCCCATTTTTATATCACAATCTGTTTTGTTGCCATTGCATCAGGTAATGAAACAATTTATTTTGTCTATTATGGAGACTTTCCTACAACTTTTAATTTTCTATGAAAATCTTTTAAAGTTGGTTCAGCTTGGCAGGCTGAACAGTTTTACATTGTCAGTACCCCAAATGGAGAAGAAGAGTGGACAAAATAGAATGTGATTGGAATGGTGTGGGAGCAAGAGAAGGCAATTGTATGATGTGTATATGAAATATTTTTTCTAGTTTCTATCCTGCCACTTTTTCATGGGTGACTGTAGACCTATTCTCCAAAAATATGCATTGTGTTGGGTTCCTTCTTATTTGCTTACAGGGATGTTCATGTACAAATCTCAACAATGGTTGGATGGTGGTGATCTCTTTTAAAGAACTTAACATATCAAGGTCCCCATGATACTTTCAAAATGGACAGGGCACTAAATTTTGCTTTCAGGGAGAACTTGTTGTTTGTGAAAGTCAATAAAGACTTTCTTAAACTTGTTTCCATCTGAATGTGATAAAATAATGACTGGTTGAAAAATAAAATATGTATATGAAAAGCTGCTTGATCTTTTCAATAAGATGTTATAATGCTGGATTATGTCTACATTTTTATCTTTATCATCTACTTTCTAGGGGAGATTGATTTATGATAAAATATATGTAATGTTCTGTATTGGTCTATATGTGTTGTCAGCAGATATAATAAGAAACAGTTTATTCCATTTATTAAATCTTTTATTAAATCTTTTTATTCAATATATTTGATGGAAAATGTGCCTTAAAATAGCAATTTTATTTTTATTCAATAATACCAGAAAACAAAGTTTGAGTTTTTCTAAAAATCTGATACTGAAAATTTTATAGTATTTTGAGGCTATTGGATTTTAGTGGATGGACATGATTTGATATATATCTCTTTTCAATGCATTTTATATTATTGTGATATTAATTACTACCAATGGCAAATCAAAAATTTAAAATTACTATTAAAAGCTCTTTTTTTTCTACAGATTCATTGCCTGGAGTTTGGAATGTATTTGGTTACCAAATCCATCATGAAATAGATGAACCCCCACTAGATGGTGAATCAACAACTGATGAACCCTGTACAGCAAGCCCTGATGATGTTCCTGAAGATATCCTAATTGTTGACCATTTCTATCCTGAAATATATCATCTGGAAGAAGATGATAGTGAAGAAGTTGACTGTGAGAATACTACTGCTATCACAACTCCCCCACCTTTGCAGTTTATTAATGGAAAGCAGCAAGTGACCACTGCACCTAAAGATATAAAAGCGGAAGAAGCAAGGAGTGACCAAATTTTAGCACATTCCAAAAATGTAAATTTTCTGCATATCAATGAAACTAACATGGTGTCTGAGAATGAGTTCTTGGCCACAATACAGCCAAATGAATCAACTGTGGATACTGCTGTTACACAAAAGTTAATGGCAGAATTTGACATGATAGAAGAGGTCTTTAGTGGAGATTTAGAAGTTTCAACTACACATAAAATTCATGAAACAATATTTCTCCATGGCCAGTCTTTATCAGACAATACTGAGAAATTGATACAGTCTGAAACAGAACACTTAGAAGATTTAACTGCCAAGCCTGAATTAATAAGTTCTGTTTCTCCCCACACAATGAACACAGAGCTAAAAGAAGACTCTGAACAGTTAACCATAACAGCTTCTACTCAAGGTTGGTTACCTCATTCTACCACTATACCCTTAGCCACTGGAGATGACATAGCAGCTCAACATGACACTTCTGTTGTGCAAGGAAATTATAATACAACAAGTAGACATAATATACTTAGTTCTTATATAAATTCATTGGCAACAACTACAAGTACTAATTTATTGAATATGCCAGAAGGGTCTGGAGATGTTCAAGAAGATGGTTTTAAACCAACTAGTGCATTAATAAAACCAGGAGGACAAGAAAAAGATCCTATTCAGGAAATTTTCTCAGTTGATGAAAAGCCAGTTCCACCTAAAGCTATCCCTTCTGCTTCACAATCTCCTGCTTCTTTGTATAAAGAGACTATGTTTATTACTGAACATAGTTTTGTAGAATCCTTTACTACTGACTCTTCTACTGAAATAATTTTGAGCACTACTGAAAATCCAGTTAATATGGAGGAGAAGAAAGAAAGTACAAACACTGTTTCTTTAAATATGGAGAATTCAACTGCCATCAATACAGAAAAATTGTTTAGTAACACTGAGTACTTCAGTGATAACATCAGAGCTGTGAGTGAAGGATCGATAACTCTCACCAAAACAATTTCTGTAACAGATGTTCCCCCTCTCAAAACCAAAGAGGTCACAGGAAATAGATTGCCCATTAATGAAGAATCTGGTGATGGATCCACAGAATTTTGGAGGAAACCTAATAGAGAAATACTTTTGGGGGGTCCTACCAGCAAAGTGGTAAGTATAGACTCCCAATTTCTAGATCCAGGTTTTGGAGGAATTGATAGTATGACTCAAGCTACTACCCTGACTTCATTTCCAGTGAGGTCTGAATATGGAAGCAGTGAAGGAAAGGAAATAGGTGGTGTTTCAAGTAAACCACCAGTGAATCATGCAATTCTTACTAATCATACAGTAGATGTGTTGGATGCTGAATTGCATGGGGGGGCTACAGACACTAGAATAGAAAGTCAAGTATCAAAAAATGCAACTTATAGCCAAGGAGCACTACAAGATGAATCAGATGCAAGTATGTTATTGCCATTTAATGACAAGTCTGTTGTGGAGACAAATGAAGAAGTAATAACATCTATAGCAGTACAAGAGCAAACAGACTTGTTTGAAACATCTAGTATGACAGTGACTCTGGAACCTTCAGCAAACATTTCTCCTGACATCAGTGTAAGAATGAACTTAGTAACAGAATCAAGTGAAACTGGAAACACTGTAGAACATTCCACCAGTACTCCACAGTATTCCACATTAGTGGCAAATAACATAACTCTGCAGAAAGGAAGTTCTGAATACATAGTAAATGAAGCAATGGAATCTCTTCAGCTGGAAGATAGAAAAAACATTTCTCCAACTACCTTTGCCCAAAAAATGGATCTTGTGGATGTAGGCTCTGGAGAAGAATCAGTTAATGACACAAGTAGCATGGTACTGGAGCATTATACTCCCACAGAAAAAGAAAATAATAGTAAATTTCCATTGATTGAACCTGGTTCTGGAGACATAGACTCTTTTACATATTCTCCTACAAAAAACCCAGTTTCATCTGAATTATTGGTACAAGGACCTAGAATTCAAATAAATGAAAGTGAAGAACGCAGCGTGACATCTCAGTATCCACTAGTTACAGATGTAGCTGCAACGTTAGACATAAGTAGTACTACTATAGTCACATTAGTGAACCCAAGTATTACAGGAGAGTCCATTAACAAATCAAAAATGGAAGAGGAAGTGTCAAATATATTGGAAACAAGAGCTTCTGATACAACCTCCCATTTGGAGGCAGACATGTATTATGAAGAAAGAAGAAAAATTACACAAACAGAATCTGTAACAGAACAGCCAAGAATTTCTGGTACTTCTACATTTAATCCACATGTAGAAGAAATAAAATTTGATATTAATTCTGTTACTGAATCTTTACAGAAATATCCCCCTTCGTATGATCAAACACGTAGAACTGTAGAGAAAGAAGAATGGCTGGAAGAAAATAGTAAACCTACTGAAGGTGGTCACACACTTTCCCCCCCATCTACAATGTATAGACCAATAAACACAGCAATTAATGTTCCATTTTTGTCAAAACAAGACTTGGAAAATGCATTCTTTATGGTTCAGACTACCACTGCACCTGGGAGTTCTGCTATATTAAAAGAAAGCTCCAACATGTTAAAACTTGATACTCTTCATCCTAAAAGTTCAGAAGAACTTTTTTCAGAGGAAAAACAAGAATTTGAAAGGCACACTGACTATTCTAGATATGAATTTAAATATCCACCCACTATAGAAGACAATTTGTCTGAAGCCAGTGATGAAATAGTTCCACTGTTACCTATTGTAGATACTGAAACATCTTCTATAAATTGGTTCATTCCTGAAGATGATCAGAACAAAGAAAACACCTCCCAAGAGGAAGAAAATATACTAGCTGCAACAGATGGAACTTCCCAAGGGCAAGCCTGGGTGTTGACAGGGCATGAAAATGAAACTCCTATTTCAGAATTATTTATTGAACCCCTTACTGCTGGAACAATAGAAACACCAAAAATCACCTTATTACCCAAAGTGTTGAGTGTTGCAAGCCATGATGGTTCTGGGGAAGGATCTGGCTGGCAGGATGTAATGGGGAAAAAATCTGAATCATCTACCCAGTTGCCCAATTGGGAAATGCCACCTATAACACACACCCTCCCTTATTCAGAGATTGAGAACACAAGTGCCACAGTGAATGGATCTCCAAAAGAACTACTCATCTACTCAGAGAAACAGGAAGACACAGCAACATCTGAAAGTGACATTTCAGAGAGCTTTTCATATGAGAATTCCACAAACAACATAAAGGATTATGAAGATCTTATCCCTGTAGTTGGTTTCAAAAGAAATTATTCTGAGGATATTTCTAGCTTTATTGATATTATTGGAACAGGGCATGAAGTAATATCTGATGAAACAACAATTATTGATGTTGATTATTTGAAATCAAGTGCAAATGTTGAAGACATTAGAGATTATACAACTGTAAAGCCCGACAGACACTCAACTTATGATATTTATACATCAGCAATGAAAATTCAAAATATAACACCTGAAATGTTAATTGATGATAACAGTATAGATAATCAAGGAAGTTCTGTGGGTAGTAAATTCATACATAGTGAACCTATATTATCTGAACATACCCCAACATCAGATGTGGGTTCAGGAGATGTTGCATTTTTCACAATAGAAACTGCAATTTCTCAGGACCTGCCTAAAATATCCACTCTACTTCCAACCATGGCTCCTCTTGTCAGTTCTACCATATTGTCTCCAATGAGTTCTGAAGAAAAGGCCACTGAATTAGGGTATGAAACTGAACATACAGAATCTGAAGAAACAATACAACCCATATCTGAACAACCAACACTGTCAGACAATCAAATAGTAGCTGAGGAAAATGAAATTACATTTTCAGGAGAAAAACAAGTACAGATGGATAAACAGAAACATCTGGTTCTTTCTTCAACTCCAGCATACATGCCTATAAAAACACAACAAACTTTGACAACACATAAACCTGAAGAAAATACTGCTTCAGGTCAGCTTGTTTCACAAAATGTAACAAAGTCTGAAGAAACAAGCGACAAGGTGTTTGAAGGAATGAAAACTGCACCCACACAATCCATAGAAACAGTTATGAAAAACTTGCTTCTTACAACACAAACACCAAAACTGCCTGTGACTGTGCATTTACTCAATGATGTTTCTGAATACCCAGAAGAAACCATGAAAAGTACATCATCATCAACTGATTCTAACAAACATAGTTTGCCAGTGTCAGAAACTTTTAGAGAAGCTAGTGCTGACACAACAGTAACTTACAAACCTGCTTTGAAAGATTCTTCCAGTGAAACAGCTTTTCCTAAAGTGGAATTGGAGAACAGATTCCTTGAAAGTGTACCTACATCTGATGGGCATATAATAGAAACATCAAAAACTACTACAGAAGAAACAACTATTTTTGAAGAATCTGTTTCAAACGGAGTGGTACCATCAAGCTTTATACATTCAGGTGCTGAAATTTTAGAAGATCGTTTAGAAGAAGAAACTTCTGAGAAGGTAAAGGAGCTAAATCAGTTAGATGGAAGTAGTGCTGATGGAAGTTTGCTGTGGATGCATAGCATACCTTCTTCGGTTCCACATGAGAGTAAAACAGGTGGAGTATTTGGTGCTGATGATGAAGCCAGTGCGTGGCCAATTTCACCCCCGCCATCTACAGATAAAATTGCAGAAGCCCAAACTGTTCAGCCAGAGTCAACAACTATTTCTTCTAACGTTGTAAATCAATATACAGGTCTTGAAAGCATTTCTGATTATAACAGACAGACAATAAATACAGAAGACGTAAATGCAAATGAACTTGTAACCCCACCATTTTTACTTTTGGATGTTACTAAAGGATCAGATTTCCTGATTGGTCCAGGTGAAGGTTCAGTTGAAGGCTCAGCAGTTCAGATCTCAGGTAAGGGAAAAATGGTTTAACGGCATCCTTTCCTCTGTCACAATTATTTATTTTTATCATTTATCTGAAAATGCTTGCCTGAAGATACTATGAAGATAATCATACATGTCGCATTATATGAACAACTGTAGTATGTGAACTGTCCATCATTGGGATGGTGATAGCGGTTTATATTATGATAGCTCTTTCTCAGGTATTATTGCTGGTATTAGTTGTCTAGTTTATCTGGTACACTTGTGCATTCAGATGTGTGTCCAGAAAAATTCAGGACTGATTGCATGAAGGAAAAAAAAAAAGATATTGCATGAGTTATATGTGAAATATTTGTCAATATTTTGGGATAGAAAAATGATTATTAATATAATGTTAGCAGATGTTTGGAATTCATGGAATTGTAATGATATTGAGAGATGGAGCGATCCATGTCTAGCTAAATATGAAAGAGAAACATTTAGTCATTTTGATGGAATTCGCTTTCGTATCCAGATCTTAGGATGAAAGCTATTCAATACATATTCAGCAGATATGAATAGCAGTTCTCCTTGTCTGCCTTCCCTTCCCCTGGATTTGCACTAATTCTCTTATTTACTATTGTGCCCATGTACAATGTGATTCAGGGTGAGTTTGTATATGTGAAACCAGTGTTACTATGGATAAAGTATTCATGAATTGCATAGCTAGTTCTGTAGGATATTCAAAGTATGTGGAATTTGATTTTTTTTTTTTTGCTTATTATCTGTGGACATCCACCATGTTTAGCTTAGATTCTTTTTCCCTATGGTAAGAATTTGTAAACTTAAGATTTCTCATAGTTTTCTGTTGAAGGTTTTGCACAAAATAAGTCAAGGGATAGAATCTTTGTTCAGTAGTTGCATTTAAAAACTTAAAAGAGGCAATTTGGGGCTGATGTACTACTTTCGGACACAGCAGATTCATATAATTACTTAATATGTGGGTGTCATATTCTAGTAATGAGTGATAGTTTTACATATATGTAACCTTCACTTACAAAAACAAAAAGAAACCTGAATTAAATCGTAGAACTTTTCTTTGCCAAGACAAAAGATTCAAATAGTGATTTGACTTGTTCTTTTGGGTGATAAATTTAAAGAAATAAAATGTGCTTATAAATTGATTAAAAATAGTAACTAAATGATTGCATTTATCCAAGGTCACAAGTCTTATTGGGAAGATAACAAACAAAATGTATGCTGTAAGAATGGTTGTTCTGTATACCCAGTCATTGCACATAAACTAACTTTGTTCAGATAATACATGTTTCATTCACCATGTACATGTTTTAACTGTTTTTGGCTATAATTAATTGTCATATCATATCAGCTAAATCCCGAACAGAATATTAAGACTGCCAAAATCAACACAAAGTATCACTGAAGTAAACAAAATACTGCTGAAAATAATTTCCCCTGGTGTAGTTTAGTTTCATTACTATTATGAAAGACTGATCATTGATTTATTGTTACTGCCACATACTGTGCTAAATTGATTATATGTGCTTGCACGTTAATGGTGTTTAATCTGTAACTTTAGCAGATTGACAGCACTAGGGATAAATTAGGAAACAGTTTGCTACTTAGAGAGAACTGACCCAACAAACATTTTTTTTAAAAAAAATACAGCTATTTTCAATGAACTCATTTTTACAGGCCAAGATCTATGTAAAAGCAATCCATGCTTGCATGGGGGCACTTGTTACCCACGCGACTCTTTCTATATCTGCACTTGTATGCCAGGTTTCAGTGGTGATCGGTGTGAAGTAGGTAAGAAACAAACGTTTCGTTGTTTTTGACTAATTTTTTATCATGCAGAAGAAATTCAATAATGTACCTTAAGGTTCAGAGAAGACTGAGACTAATCAGTTTGATGGACACTTACCTAACCATTCAGCAAATGCAATTTATACAGTATGTATACAAATGAGTTATCTAAAAAATGATATTCATTATGTTTATAAAACATGCATTATTCACTGTACTTTTCTGTTCACTTTCTATATAACAGTGTTGCACATTAAGAAATCTTATCTGTGTTTTGCTGTTTAAATAAATAAAAGACTTTTAGGTGATCAGGTGTAAATGATACAGAAGTAAAATATAGTCATGTTAATATCTGGTTTTGATAAATGGGTACCGTAAGGAAAAATTACTGACCCATTTCAAATTTATGCATGCCATCAATAGTTCCACACAATTTGCTTCCAAACATAGCTTCAGGTTAGTAGAGCCTTGGAAACAGGAGGATAAATTTTATGTTTTTCTGAAACAATCCTCTCAGTTGGTGCTCTGCAGATATAATGGAATATATCCTAGGTAGAAATTCTGAAATTTTAATCTAATATATCTAGTGGGTACCAAATGAGGAAAGATACTTCAAAAATGCCCATCCCTTCCCATTTCTACTCAGAATTTTTCTATGTCATCCTTATTTAATGAAGATCTATTAAAAACTCAAGAGTGGCTTTTGAAGACATATTATGAGAGTGTTCATTGAATTAATGAAAAAATTGGTCTTTTTGTTTGTTGGATTGATTCAGCCAAAGGCATGAAGCAATTGTGGTAATAATAGATCTCCTTATTCTGATGGGTTTTGAAGCTCATTTCCAGCTATTTAATTAGTCAATATCACCTGGATTTCTTCTTTTGGAAAATTGTTACATATTATTTCATAAATTATGGACTTCTTTGAATGGACAGCATGATAAAGAAGAAATAAATGGTATGAATGATAATGCCTACAGCCACTAAAGGATACAGAAGTTCAGTGTTTCACAGTGACAAGTTAGAACAAGTTGGACTCTTTGCAGCAATAATTATCCAGATTTTCTTTTTCAAAAAAGGAATTGCTGCAATGTCTTTTCCCCTAGCAGTACAAGTGGTGACAGGTAAACTGAGGATGCAGGTTAGAGATCAAGGATAATTTTTAACAAGTGCAGGTTTGTGTATTGTATTTAGAAGAGTTCTCAGTGTGGGATATATATTCAAATGTTGAAGGAAATTGTTAAACTTATATATTAGGATTTTATTTATTTATCATATGGCACATTCATATCACAAGTCAGTAGAATAAAAACACAAGAGATAAAATACAAAATATAAACTATAAAATTATAAACGTATGTCTAGATTACAAATATAATTTTTTACTTCATTTGTCACAACCAGGAAATCAACAAAATCTTCATTATAGGCTTTGTTTTGGCACTCTTGTCACTATAGTTTGTTTTATAGCCCCACAATCACAATTCAGCCCCACACTATATCAGGATGCCTAAAATCCATGAATGAATTCTTCTACTTGCTACAATTAATATGCATACAGAAGCCTTTAACTTGCAAGTGAGAACAACTGTTGTAAATCATTATTATTTATTTGTAATTTTCTTGGATAGATGTTGACGAATGTCAATCCAGTCCTTGCAGAAATGGTGCCACGTGCATTGATGGCGTCAGCACATTTACTTGTCTTTGTCTCCCAAGCTATGTTGGAGCTCTTTGTGAAAAAGGTGAGAGATCAGTTTGAAATGTATAGTTAACTCAATCCTATTTTCAAAGTAATCTACACAAATGTGGCAAAGAGAATCCATTTGCCACAGGGATGGAATGAATGCATTTTCTTTGTTTATTATATTATTTAATCTAAATATTTAATATTGCCTTTGTTGAACCAGATTTCACAACTGTATACAACAGGGTAAATAAAAATGACTCATTCTTTATGGTAGGCTTTATTTTCTTGTTTTTGTGTTCTAACTGTTATTGTTGCTGACAATTAGTTTAGAGAAGAGAGTAGCTTATTTTACAAACCTTCACTAAATACTGTGAGGTATTTAATCAAGAATGTTGATAAGGCTTAATGAGATCTGGAGTTTGCGTCTTTTGGGGATTTTTACAGGATGCTGATATAAAGTTCAACATAAGGAGGATGATCAAAATAATCACACCTTTTTGTCCCAAATGCCATGTTAAATTTTCAAAAGCTGTTAACAATGACTTTGTGAAATTTTAATAGTGGTACCCCATGTGATGTTTCTATACTGTGTACCCATGATAAATATAATATTTCCACTCTGCAAATTTATCACTTAATTGAATCCCAAACAAAACAAAAGAACATTTCTGGGTTGACACAATGTTTCTTTTCCTTCTAAATCTTAACTCCTCTAGTTATAAGAAATATCTCCCTGATTTATTTTTGTCAAGATGACATTACAGAATAATTACAAGTTTCTTAGCATAGGTTGAAGTCCTGTCCAAAGGTGATAAAGAAAGTTCCAAAAAGTAGAACGGAATGAAAATTCTAGCTCTGTAAATTGTACTCCTTTGCTCATAATTGCAAATGTAGGAAAACAGTGTCTTATTTTTCCATCTCTGCCTGGATTTATTCTCTCTAGAACAAAGTATTTTCCATGTATAATTGCATACTGGCAGATTTCAGGCTAGTCTTTCATCCTAAGCCCACTGGGTGAAAGGCTGTGAATTTGAAAGTGCTTTTTGGGGGGAAAAAAATTCATGAGGCTGAAAGTACTTTTGTGATATATTAATTTTTAAATTTAAGGCAAAGGATTAGATTATTTGCAATTCATTTTTAGTAGTCTTGTTAAGAATGGAAATAATTCTGAATTCAGCTCTTTAATGTAAGACCATACATTGACAACAGTTTTTTTCGTAGTAGATATTTCGAAAATACATTTCTGTAAAAAAATCCAAAAAGGTCTGAAATCATTATAGCTTTAAATTCTACTTTATGACTACAGGGACAGGGCTGAGTGCGTAGGTGAAAGTTTGGAAGTTTTGGATTTGTCTTCAGAAGCCCTGTGGGTCTAACACCTTCAGTCTGCCTCTTACTTTGTATAGCAGCTCGGTAATTATGGCTGCCACCATCAGTCTTTTGGGGGATGGCTCCTCCCCCCATCTCAGCATGTGAGAGAAATGGGGCTACCATAGCTGGTGTGCTTTATTGGGAGATTAAAAGGGAAAAAATGATACAAGGGACAAATTCTGGCCTTGTGAGTTTAGGTGCATGATTAGGGAGATCATCCCCTCCCCTTTAGGAGATGGGTCAGTGTCATAAGGTATACATAGAATCAAGCTTTGTTCTAAAATAAAACTGAAAAAAAAGGAAGGTAAAAAAACACACCTTTAAATAGTCACACGCAAGACATTCTGCGGTGGAGGAGCTAAAAATATAAAGCTGCTAAAATTGTAGACAAAAGCCAGTTTGGTGTAGTGGTTAAAGTGCTGGCTTAGAAGCCAGGAGACTATGAGTTCTAGTCCTGTCTTAGGCATGAAAGCCAGTCACTGTCTCCAGCCCTATGAAGAAGGTCCTGGCAAGTCACTTTGAAAAATGTTGCCAAGAAAACTGCATGGTCTTGTTTTTGAGTCACCAGGAGTCAGGGTTAACTGGATGGACCACAGCAAATTCACAGAAAGCATCTTAGAAGAATCTTTAATGGAGAAATATACAGGAAAAGATAAAGATATGACAGACCACAGGCAACTCTGATACAAAGAGGTCCCAAGCTGCACAAAAAAACATGCAATGGCCAAGCCTGTATAAAAACAAAGATGCCAGAGACAATAAAGCATTGATTAGCAGATGTAGAAATTAAACTTAGCACAAGCCTTAGATAATGTTTTCCCATTTCTCTAGAGACTAGATGACCCCTGGAATACAATTTGTTACCTGGACAGTTATCCCTCCTGCAAATTCCTGCTTAAATCTGAGGCTGAGGCAAGATGTTAAATGTTTTCAACCTCTCATTGAACAATTTCTGTGCTTAATAGAAAATAACAAAAAATAATTTTTCCTTACTAACAGAAATAGAGGAATTTGGGTAATCTGACTTTGTACATGATTCAGAGCAGGCAACTGTCCCTTGTGCAGATATGGATTGAGATATCTACCTAAGGGGATGCATTTGAGGAATACCTGAGTTGTGCTTGTTGATGAAGAACTCCATTCACAATTACTGACTGAGGGGTTCATGTGAGATACTTAGTATATTTCCTAGTTTGTTCAAGGACCTTTGTGCAATCTACATTGGGATAATTTCTTCCATCCATGGGTTGGAAGCTCTGGAGGATCTCAAATGCCAACTCTTCCATTCCTCAAAGTAATTTAAAGGATGCATTTGTTAATGAAATCATTGTTGCCAAGCAGTCCCAATGTCACGTCATTGAACCTGGTCTCATTATAGCTAAAGCCAAAAAAGTGCAGAACATATAATTCTGTTTTACAGAAAGGGTGCAATGAAGCTTGCTGTTAATGACTGGTTTTTTGCAACTTGAACTGCTCTGTTCTTCAGAATTCATGCTATGCAAAGGGATCTAAAAATGACTTTACAAAGTTTTGATCTTCTAGATCTTCACAACTAATTTTTACATGTATTAAAACACGTGAAATAATTATATGCAGGGCTATGAGTCAGTTTTAATGTTTTCCATGCCATTAACCTGGACTATGAGGCAAGAGCTAATTAATCCTGATTTCCGTGTTAGAAAGATGGAAGAACTGACTCAAGGAAATTTCACACTCTGCTGTAATTTATTGTATTTTTCAAAACATGCTTTTCCCACCTATTGCAGTAGGCGGTGTTGGATATTAAGTATGAATAATACTGGATTCTGTATATTCACACTTGGCCAATCAGGCCCCCAGATTCCATTGCTGTGGCTTCAAATTTAACATTTTTCTGTAATTCTGAAATGGAAATCACTACACTGGTGTTTCTCAACCTTAGCAACTTTAAGATATGTGTACTTCAACTCCCAGAATTCCCCAGCCACAACACTGGCTGGGAATTCTGGGAGTTGAACTCCACATCTTAAAGTTGCCAAGGTTGAGAAACACTGAAGTAAACCATGAAATATCTAACATTGGCTGAAGACTAGTTTTATACACTCCAGAGAACCTTCGTCCCCACAAAACCTTAGCAAAATTAAAATCCCAGTGCTGCATATATGTATGATATATGCTTTCTCTTCTGGATCATGACCCCAACCCACTGTGGCTTTCAACCCACACAGCCCAGATGTTAAGCGCAAAGAGAGATAAGTCTCTGTATTAAGTTCCCATAACTTAGAACAGCATTTCTCAAACTTGGCAACTTTAAGATGTATGTACGTCAACTGGCTGGGGAATTCTGGGAGTTGAAGTCCACGCACGTTAAAGTGGCTGAGTGTGAGAAACACTGACATAGAGAATCAAATTTTACAGGCGGGTGGTAATGTGAATCAGCTGACCAAATCCCTTGTTATTAATCAAATTGGTAGAAGGGAAGATGATAGTATTACTAGGGTCGATTACATGACAGTAAACTTCATGACTGGTACTTGGTAGTGCCTAAACTTGTTTGTATTCCAGTTTGCAATACTACTTTACTTCCCCAGTCTGGTCATTTTTGCTGTTTAGTCCAATTCAATCCTAAGTCATCTTTGGTTACTACTCAGTAGCAGTGGCTATGTCATGGGTTCCTTTAAGAGATTTGCTGATGCTAAAAGGAAGCTTTCTGTTACAACTTTTCCCATTATCTCCAGCCAGCATAAGACACAAGCAGTGAATGCTTTCAGTAGTGCTACATGGCAGCGTGTGAATAGATCCCCTGTGTCGGAATGACATTGTAGCTGATCCTACTTACACATGTTCAGTCATCTCACTGAAGTAACAGCTGTCTTTCCCTTAAGAACATGCTGAGGGTACTATTGAATCAGGTCAGAGTCTTGGCCAGAGTTCCTGTCCACACTTCCAATCCCACAATGATCAGCCTGCTGACCATAGAAACTCTCAGGCAGGATATACACACTAATGTTTTTCTGCTTTTCTGCAGCAGCTAATTCTAAAAATCACATTGCCCCAATGCTGGCAGTACAGTAATTATAGCTATTGGGAGTGGTGCCCGTAATAGCCTTGCCTTTAAAAGCATTACAATGATTGCGGCCTTTTTGGCAGTAAGCTCCACCGAGAAAGATGGCTGCAATGCATTGTGGAAGCTGCAGCTCCTTAGTAGGCACTGACTTTTGTGTCAAGGAGGGTTATTGGGGCACCAGGTAGCAGTTTTCCCTATTATTTGTGTGAGGAGAGATCTGAAGGGTGTTTTGCCAAAGGATTGAAGGTCTCCTGTTAGCACCTTGCTCCTCCCCAGTATGTTCTTCAAAAGCATGAAAAGAGAAAGATATTACCAGCAAAGGTGGTGGTAGACAGTTGAATAATCATGTTTATTTTGCATGTACTTCCATTATGGGTAGTTTCTCGGAACATGTGCAAACTATCAAGAACTCTGGAGCAAGAGTGACGGCATCTCTAAATTTCCTAATAGGACAAGAAATGAAGGGACATATAATCTGGCTTATAGCTGTTATTTCTTTACATTTGCATTACTGGTTAAATGTATGTACTTGACTTTAGATGGCAATTTTTGGAAAAAGTAACTTCATACCCTGAAGAAAAGTGGTATGCTCTGTATAATTATTCAAGAATTTCTGAACCAGAATAGAAAACGCAGTTTAAATTAGAATCTCTCTGTCTCTTTCTCTCTCTTTTCATCCTTTTCACTTTGCTTCTGTAGTTTGATTTTGTGTGTGTGTGTGTGTCATTTTTTCCTGGCAGTCTAAGAAAATTTGACTTAGAGTAGTTTATAGTGTTTATTGAATGCAGATACGGAGCTGAAGCTGCTAGGCTCAACTACACAGATGTAACTGCAAGAAGACAAATCTTCCTGAGACACTGTAGCTAAACACAACCATTTAATTTCATTTATTTTTTTGTTCTGTTCTTCATTTAAAAAGCAATACCTTTTATTTAAAGTGTTACCCTTCAAAATATTTGCAATTACTGTCTCTGCCTATGGGCTTAATTTTGAAAGTTATTGGTGTTTGGGAAAGAAAAGGCAGTTCTCTTCATTACTTTATTTCAATTTCTTGCTGAGAAGGATTGTATGCAGAGGTTGGGAGAAAACCATGCCGATTTTTAAAGGTGTTACAAGATCTTGCACTGTAGATATGCAGAGGCATTTTATCTCAAACTGCAGATATCAGTAGCAGTTTCTTAGTAACTCTGCTCCTTAGATGGATAGTGTAATCAGATATGATGGGCATGTAGGCAATGTTCCTGACTAAGGAACAATCAAACAACCACCTAAATTGTCCACTGGAACACACCTAGAGAATTATGAAGTTGGAAATCATACCATTCAGTATTTTCAAGAGAGGATCCATCACTTTCAAGGAAGCCCATTGATGGACAACTTTTATTGTCAGAAAATTTTTTCTCATGCCCAGTTTAGATCTTTTTTCTTGTTCATGTCCTGTAACATGGAGCAGAAATGATGGTTCCTGTTCCCATGGAGAGGTCTTTGTACATAAAAATTGCACATTTGAATAAATATAGGTTAGGATGAGTCCTGCTTTCATCAACAGAAGGGATCAACAACCTTTTTGAATAGGTGGACATATCTGGAATTTTGAAAACGTGATTGACAGTCACATGGTAGTTTGGTAAAAAAAATATCATTTGCTAGATGAGCGAATGAGCAGCTGGTGATGTTTCCTGTTCTAGTCTTTCAGCATCATCTCTGCTGAGCCAGATGTGGTTTTTGTCCCTGGACAAATGGGCATATTTGACAAAGTATTTTCTTTCCTAAGAATACCTATGGAGTTTATAATAAGGCTCAGAGGCCTCATAAAGAAAAAGAAAGCTTGACATTCAGATTTTTCCATCAAAACTTTTAACGGTATTTATTGCATTTTAATATCATGTATTATAATGCTATTAGTGATACAAGATGGGATACATAATCTTTAATATTTTGAACAGTCCTGTGATGTAGATTAGATGGAATGAATATCCATGGCCACCTAGTAAATTTCACAGTTGAGGACAATTTGAACTCAAGTTTCCTTATTCCAGATTTAGACTCTGACGTTGATAGTTATTGAAATTAACCCTTTGCTTTGTTTTTTGGCTCTTGGTAAAGGTGTTTTTTTTTTTTTGGAAGAAGTGCTGCAATGGTTACAGCTATCTCATTTAATGCAACATTTTTTGATTATGTACCAGTGGTTTGAGTTGAATAGCTCTCTGACTCTGGCGTGTCCATAGGAGAGAGACACACCCACTTTTGCTTTTTTCAACAAATATTCAAAGCTTGCCACAGACTTTGTACTATGCAATATCTTTTTACCAGGATTTGTATGTATTAAAATGTCCTAATCTATGTTCTCTTTAGTAAACATTCTGCCAGGTTACACAAATTCATCTACTTGGTCTAATTTTTCTCCATTTGTTTGTAATTTGGAATAGTTGACTCAGTTTTCCCTGTCAAACATGACCTTATTTTCAGGTTGATGCTCCTTGTTCTTAACATTCACTAGAAATCACTTGGGTTCTTGGCCAACAACACAGCACAATCTGCATACAAAAGCACATACATATTCACATCCTTGACTGAAACACCTCTAGCATCATTATAAGCATTTCTTATATATTTACCATGAATACAAGAAACAATAACATCCTTGTCTGTCTTCTTGCAGTGTTGAACCATTCTCTAAGCATTCCATTCTCATGCATGCATTCCTTTTATCATATACTAATATACTGTATTTAGCAATTAACCTTCAATACATATTTACATAAAATATTTATAACCTATTATTAAAACCTATTCATTGTTTTATATAGTTACTCTAAATCAACAAACAATGCGATACTACATAATAGACTTTCTTTCTCACATTCATACATTGCTGAAGAAAAAAATGTGGTGACTTGCTGAAGAACAAAAGTTTGTGTGTCTCCTACCCAACATAAAGTTGCATCACACATTTTGCTCATGGTCACTTCTTTTTCAGTTTTAGTCAGAGTTCTGCCAAGCACCTTCTTGGGCACACTTAGCAACTAATTCTGTTACAACTTTTAGATTCATTCTTGCTACTTTCCTTTTTTAATAAAGCAACAGTAATAGCAGTCTTCCAGTTGTCATGTATAGATAATCACACATTCCTTAAACAAATCACACATTATTTTATTTTATTTTATTGTATTGTATTGTATTGTATTGTATTGTATTGTATTGTATTGTATTGTATTTTATTTTATTTTATTTTATTTTATTTTATTTTATTTTACATCTATATTTTAACATTTTTCCAGCTGTATCATCTATACTTTCAGCCTTACTGTTTTTCAGCATTCTCACAAAGTAAATATGCTATCCTGTGGTTGCTGTTGGTATTAATCTGGTAGTATGATAGGTGCCTTAATGTAGGAATTTGACCCAGAGAGTTTAATTCCATCCTCTATACATAAGACAGAATAATGTATGAAAAAATAATGTTTAATTGGAATTAAAGTAGAATTTTACAATTAAACTGTGGAATATTTTCAAGGTTTACAGTTTTATTTCTGTTCCTGCCCAGCAATGAAAGTTTAAATCACTGTATGGTGATACTCTTAATTTTTGCTAGGGTTATGCTCTCCCTCCACCCCACCCAACAACAATACACAAAATAGAATGTCTGGTACCTGGTGTAAAATTTTCTACCACAGGATAGAAGGATATACATTTGGAAGATAAAAAGGCAAAAAGCTGTACGTGAACATTGCTTTCCTTACACATTTCATTGCAACAGCAACTCTGTTGAAAAGGCAATCCATTTCCTTTTAAAACTGGGAAACTTTCTGCTTCTAAATCGAGAGCTTACAGTTTTGGCTCCAGAAATAGCAGTACTTATATAAAAACATCTTGTTCTCCACAGGCTTTTATATACATGGCTTGGAGTTTCTAGGCCAGTCTTCCTCAACCTGGTGTGCTGCAGATATGCTGAATTTCAGTTGCCATTATTCCAACACATCTGGAGGGCATCAGGTTGGAGAAGTCTGTTCTAGATGGTAAGATTATCTGCCAGACCACAATGATCTGCAATGTGCCTTTTAATTTCCAGGCCACAATAAAAATCTCTTTTCCAGAACGTTCTGTCTTTCTACCCTATTATATCTTGTTGAAAGCCAGGCATCAAATAGTACATTCTGATGTTAAATAAAATGCATAAATGACACACATTTCTTACAAAATTAGCATGTGCTACTTCCATATTCTTTTTTATAGTGCATTTGAGATTTCTTTAGGTGGAAAGAAATCTCAAATACACTGTAACAAGTATGCTAACGCTGGTCACTGGGTATTTCTGTTTGATTTATTTAAATGTTTACATGGCTAACGGGCAATCCTGGTCATAGTCTATCCATGTTTGCTGTAAGTTTTTATGCTTGTTTGTTGCAGACACTGAGACCTGCGATTATGGATGGCATAAGTTTCAAGGGCAATGCTACAAATACTTCGCCCATCGCCGGACGTGGGATGCAGCTGAGAGAGAGTGCCGCCTGCAGGGCGCCCATCTAACCAGCATCCTGTCTCATGAAGAACAGCTGTTTGTAAACCGTAGGTGCCTTGGTTGCAGTGCAGAGGGACTAAATGGCTGTAAAATAACCCACAGGACTCCGAACATTTTCATTATCGTTTTTATCCCTAAAAGATACATTTTATCATTGATTGCTGATCTGTTCTTTTCATTCCAGCTCTCTAATAGCTGGACTGTAGAATTTGCTGATACCTGAGGGAAATATTCTTTACTCTCCTGAATAATTTAGTTCATGAGAAAAAAAAATAGTAGAAAACTTGAGTGAGGCAGTTCATTATGAAACTTTTATTTTGATCTTGTCACTTAGACAATTTCATCATCAGGCACTTTAAAAATACTGACCCTCAGAGGCCAGGTACTATGGGTCACTTTATATCCTGTTGCAAATAACTGGCATTTATTACAGTCACAAGTCCTGTCTGAAAACCTAATGCACATAAGCTTTGTTTCTAAATACTCTTCATTAGCTGTGTTAATGTTCGGGTAAGATATTCAGTCTAAGTGTTTTCTCAGAAGAAACATGTATTTGTTCTCAGTATCAAGTCTGACTTCTCTTTTGAGAAGCGATGATTTGATTTTCTGCCAAGCCATTTGGCGTATCCATATCCCTGGAAACTGCTTCATATTAGCAATACATGCTTGAAAAGAACAGTGCATACACCATAGCAGAGCAACAAATTAATTAGGAAATCAAGCTGAGGATATTATGATGGCTGCTTTTCCGTTTCTGCACTGAACATACAAATCAACCTAGACATCTGTGTGTTTTTATCCGCAGCAGTGAATGCTTTATTTACAGAAGGAATTTCTATCACACATATAGCATTCACTATTGCAAAGACAGCAAGAAAGGCTTCGAATATCAGCACAGCTGTATATGTGCTGAAGGTGCTATGTCACAATGTGAGCAAAGGACAACATCAGTGACAACAAAAATAAGCAAGTATAGCCGTGATTAAAACAGGCATAATCTGTAGAGACATGAAGTAGCCATCTAATGAAATCTAAGCAGGTACGTGTGGGATTGGTCAGTGCTAGGATGGGAGATCGCTATGGTTTAAATACCTAAAAGTCTATAGAGAAACTTTGATTTATGTAGCAAGGCAAATGTTACATTTATTTAAAGCTTTTTCAAGTAATTGTTACCGCCTTGTATTTTGGGGTGGTGTACTGCTTTTTGCAACTATCTTGTCATTTACGGCAGTCAGCAAGAAAAATAGATCAGTTAAAATATAGTTAGTAAGAATGTCTTCTATAAATATTCCCAGCTCTTAGAAGAACGAGAAAACTCTTCTAAGAGAAACAATAAAAATGATTTTTACCAAAACAATGGGAAAGCTGATTCAGACTATGACATTACTTTCATTTTCAGATAATTCCCTTTAATGGTAAAAAGTTACTAAAGTAAATTTTCACTGTAGGTATAGGACATGACTATCAGTGGATTGGCCTAAATGATAAGATGTATGAGAATGACTTCCGCTGGACAGATGGCAGCGTGCTGGTAAGAGATCAGTTCTGGAAAATATTTTAATGATTGTGATATTACTGGCTGTAGTATATTAACCAGGTGTGATATAACATGATTGTTTGTTCTTACTGTAATTTATGTTGTCAGATAATAATGTACAGACCATTTTAGATTTGAGAGGTTTGTACAAACCTTCCTCTTTCCTGGTCCATTTTGTTAGTTCAAACTTTGATTTTCTTCTTCAAATTCTAGCTGAACATGCTTCTTTAAACTATGTAAGTTCTCTTGATTTAAATGGAGCTTGCCTCCCCAGCCCCCCAGCCCCCAAAATGGGAATATAATTCCTGTGTTAAAAGAAAGGGCAAGAACATATCCTGATCAAATCCACCTCTTCTTTGCATTCTCTTACCTTGCTAGTCTCTGTTGTCCTACCCATCTAAACTGGATGGTGTAGCCCTGGAGACAATTTTAACTTACATGATAATATCAAATAAGAATAATGACAGTAACTCTTTCCTTGAACTCTTTAAAAATAGTCAACATGGTTCCATTGATATCTTTTACACGGTACTTTAGAACATTCACTTAGTCACTTTAATCTTGTTTTTTGTAAGTGAACCTAAAATATAATCAGTTGCAGTTTCAATAAAAACCTTAATCCAACATTTTTCTATCACAGACACCAGCCTGAATGCATTCTTTTGCATCCTGGTGAAAGCAAGCTCTAGAGGGGCACTATTTTGCATTATTTCCTGTGCAATCACTTGTTTGGGCTTTTAATGGAGAGCTGCTTCCCAGGCCAAGTATCACTGATGAAGCACACAACTGCATTGTATAAAAATTGTCTACCTATAGTTCTAGGGACAGGGATTCATTGTGTAATCCTACCACAGCTGTATTGCACATGTTCTGCTTTGGAAAATGGGATTTTTTTTATTCTAGTTCAGTTGGTTGGTGTGCAGCATTCACAGTTTGAACTGAATAGATGAAGTTTCATCACTACCGTAAATACAGAGACTTTAAAATAAAACATTACTTTGCTTTACACAGCATAAAACAGAATATAAAAGTAAAGAGAACAAGACTTCAATGCATTCAGTGGTCCTTTTCATTTTAATATGTAGGCTCATTTTTATCCCAATCAGAACACGCCCTTCCAGACAGAAAACAGATGCTTTATAGGAGTTGAATGTGTACCGTTGAAAGGCTATGCTTAATATTTGCCTTCTCTCATTAAGCATCGAAGGAAACATCTGGTTCTTGTGATTCAGGCATATAAGAATGGCTCACTTCTGCATATCACATGTCAGCTTTAGAAATACGTTATTAAAAAATCTGGTTTGATTGATTTCCACATAAAGTTTAATCCAGTGTTTCTCAAATTTGGCAACTTTAAGATGTGTGGACTTCAGGTCCCAGAATTCCCTAGCCAGCCATGCTAGTTCCATGCTGGCTGGGGAATTCTGGGAGTTGAAGTCCACACATCTTAAAGTTGCCAAGTTTGAGAAACACTGGATTAATCTAAGAGTAATGTATTTTAGTTTGGGTTGAGTTGTGTTGACTTTTTTCATGGGAGCAAGGTTTTCGTTCATGTTTTTTGAAGAGCTGCTACTTGTTGTAGATGACTGTGGAAAATGAAAAAGGCAAGCATGCTTTACTCTCTCATGTGCTGGGATATTTTATGGCCAGAACTAATATGCTTTATTATGTCTCAAGGCACAGTTTCTTTTGGAATGTGGGAGAGGGGAGCTGTTACTACCCAGCACACCCTCCCATCATTCTATCACCATTCTTGTGGACTCGATTAACCTTGTTTTCCACTCCACCCTTTCATGATCAAATGTATGTTATCTCTCTTTAATATTTTATTCAGAAGAGCATTCTGTCCTTAGACTAGTCAATATTAAACATGTGATAAATCCCAGTGTTAGGGAGCCAAGAACCACATGACAATAACTTCCAGACTCCAGGAAATGAAATGTTAATTCAAGCTTGTAGAAAACCTCGGGTGTTAAATTTTAGTTTAAGCTTGAGATGAAGAAGAAAAGGCATTTTGTGAGAAGGATATGGCTATCTGCCAACAGACATTTTTCTGATTGATTTCCATCCCACTTTTTTCATGCTTTTTCAACAATTTCTCTCCATTTTCATTTGTACTGATTTTTCAATAGCTTTATATGGTAAAGTGTTCTTTATGTTTGTTCTTTTCCACAAGCTATTGTTCTTTCCATTCTTTTGACTGGGTCAAAATGAACTATTACATGTTCCATACTAGATTAATCACTGAAACACATTGGTGTATTAGGTTTACACCAAGAACCAGTCTTTTTTTCAGTTCTACAATGCAAGAGTAAAAGTAGCTGGACTCAACAGTTTATGGCTCTAGTTCTATTGCTTCTGTTTTTGTTTTTTAGACAACTTAATGCGAACTTGGAAAATTACAATGGCAAGTTAAACAATAAGCACTGAGGGCTCAGTGCATTATTTTTTCATGATGTAATTGGAAACCCTAACATTTTCATTTTTGTCCATATAGGGCATTTTTTTGCAAGTATGAGTTTCTGAATGGTACTATGTGTACTCAAGTTCTTTATTAAGTCCAAGGACTTTAATACCTTGAGAAGTCAAGAATTCTGAACCTGGGTTAAAGCTTTTATTCCTATTAAAAGAGGGAAGTGGGAAAACCAAGAATACTAACACTTGGAGAAATTCTAACCCTAACCCTAACTGATTGAGAGACAACCCTCCGTCTTATAATTTGTTCCATGGAAATAATATCTAGTGTCATTAAATTTTAATGAAATAAAATGTAACCTATATTTGAACAACATACGTTTGCACAAAAAATCATTACAATTATTTCACTTCATAAACTGCTGTTAATTGCTGGTGATTGGGGGAGTTGTATGTAACATTATATTAGGATGTATAAAATATAATTTCACAATTAAAACTGCAAGTGACTAGCATAGTTTTTAAATCAAAATTAATATGCTTGATGTTTCTTAAAACCTGGGACACTGGTTTTTCAGTATACGATAAGGAAAAGTTATGCAAACAATATAATACAGTCTTATGGGTTCATACATTGGGTAATTAACTAAGGTTAGACAAATTGCTGTCCTTGAAATTTGTGCATAATTCTCATTTGTCCTAAAGTATACAAGGAAGGAGAGTGAAAGTATGGATGCAGAAGCTTGCTGTGATCCATCCATCATCACTTAAATAAGGGATGATGAACTTGTAGACATCTGTGTACTGCAGGACTAGCTTCCATTACTGGTGAGGATGGTGCCAATGTCTCACTTCTTGCTTATCTGTTCCTGATTATCAGTACAAGTGTAGAATTAAAGATTCATGAAAATCAAAATGTATAATCGGTAGTGAGGGGTGGTCTTCCCAACATATAGGCCAGATAACTGTATTTTAATTACAGGATATTGGAAATTAAATTTATTTCTTGTAAGATTCAAAACTGATGATATTTTAACTAGAATTGGCATACATTTTAAGAGAGATGAACCTTAGTTTTTGTGAAAGAAGTTGATGTCTGTGATTTAAAATGATAAAATCAAATGTAGGCATATGAACATCAGCAAAATTACAATTTGAATTTTGAACAGTGAAATTAAAATATAATTCCTTTTGCAGTGGGAAAATGGATTTGTTTTTCATTTTAGCATTTTCATTCAATGTTAGAAACAATTTTATTTATTAGCTATTCATTGCTGTTCTGTTACCATCATATTGTGCTAGTAACTGCATTCAAATTCTGAGAGTGCACCTAAGCAAATAAGTAGCACAGTATTTCCCAATAAAGTGCTCTCCAAATTGCAGAGAATTCTGGAAGTTGCAGTTCCAACACATCTGGGACACTTCAGATTAGAGACAGCTGACACAGGAGAACATCTGTTTTCCTCATTAAGTAAGGTTCAGTCTGAAATGCTTTTGTACATATAAGAGGATTAGAGTATGATCAAAGTAATACTTCATACAACAATGAAGTATAACACTCTTAAGTGTTATCTATCTGTTCATTTTTAGAATTTACAGGTTATATTTTCTCAGGGAAATAATCAGCTGTTGGCAATATACCAGAATTGAAATAAAAATAGCAGTTGGCAATGCATTTTTTTATAGAGTGCACTGTACCAAAAATAGTTCCAGCAAGTGGAATAAGGACTGATTAGCAAGCAAAGCTTTGGAGGGTAAAAATGCTTAGGTCATTCCAGAGCCAACCACAAGCCATCACACTGATTTTTTGTGTGTTAAGTAATAACAGCAATCATTTTAAAAAGTAAAATAGTAAAAGATGTTCATTAAGAAAAAAGCAGGTGGGTTAAGCAAGATTATTTGTATCTCTCTGCCCAATAATGCCTCTCAACATGTTTTTAGACTGAGGAAACCACCCAAGAAAGAGAGAAACAGAGAGAATTTTACAGTGTCTTCCATTCTGTAGGTGTTTGGAATTCAGTACAGCAGGACAGGTGGAGATTTCAATTTATCTAGGTAAAGACCACCAGTATGAACCCACCTGGCTGTTCTCTGGAGCTCTGTAGTGGTGTGAAGGGCAGACCCTAATATCCAGTGGAAATGATTTTGAAATAGAATCAGGTCATGCTTCCAAACAGAAGAAACAGCCAAGCCGATTTTGATTTTAACAAAAACCAGCTTGTTATAGTCAAAAGCCTCAGAGATTGGGAACTAATTTACAAAGTATTTTTTTGGTCAGTTTGTTTACTGATTAAAGTTTATTTTAAGCAACTATATTTGATTTTGGTATAACAACAGAAACTTTCCTGAAAACTGAAACTAAACTCAGTAGAAATCTTAGGACTGCAGACAATGAGAAGGAAGCATTGAGCCTGATATTTCAGCTGGCTCATCTGAGATTATGGATGTAGCCTAAATTCTACTTTAGAAACAGGCCGCTAAAAATTATGAGTTTCTATTATAGCTAAAGACATAAAGTCTCTTCAGGTTTACATGCAACCTAATGAGTTGCTACCTTTTTATTTTTGCCGAGTTTCTCA